GCAGGAAGGGTCTGGCAGTGGCAAGGGAGAGGGGCCGCTTTTCACCAGTGCTGAACAACAGTTTCTGCCCAGCAGCCACCGCTACTGCTGCGGCTGAGCCTGGGTGGGTGAATTGGGAGTAGACGCCAGGCGGGCTGGGTCAGGACTGTGCAGCATTGATCCCCACTGGTACCATGGTGCTGGGGCCTGGGGCAGCAGTAGCTGGATGGAGCAGCTGCCACTTGGGCTGCCTAGAAAGGCAGTTCAGCCACGGAACTGCCACAGCTCTGCTGCCTGTGCAGGGGGTGGGAGGAGGTACCATGAGCAGGCAGTGCAGAGCAGATGTTAGGTGGGTTGGGATCAGGGTTGTGCCCACAGGTTCCGGCTTATCCCCTCTTGCTAGGGTGAGTCCAAGGTGGGGCTGGGTGCTGTTGGTGGTGGCGGGGAGGCACCACAGGGCACACGGGCTCCAGGCAGTTGCAGGGCAGGGGTAGGTGCTGATCAGCTTAGGGTGTGTGTGTGGGGGGGCTCCCATGAACACCCAACCCTCCTCACAACCACACCCTCCCCCACATGCACCCCCCCACACACGAACCTCTGTGCCTCTGAGAAGAGCCCGGCTCACTGATATGTGCACACACCCCACCACACTCGCATCCACATACCTGCCACATACACACCCCCAGCCTCCTCTCCCTTCCCTTCCATGCACCCCACAGCCCCGCACAAACCCTCCATACCTACCCACCCACATCTGCACATACCCTCACACCCTCCCTCACACCCCACATACACCCTCCCACAGTCCCTCACAAACCCCAAAGCTCACCCACTCATACCCCTGAACACCCTCCACAATATACAAGAATAAGATTTCATGTTGAGCTATTATGCAATCACCTCTATATACACCACACAAATGCACACAAATCAGGGCAAGAATATTTTTAAAAATAAAATTAAAATATGTTATTGTCAGTGTTTGATTTTTAGTGTATAATTTTTCCAGTTCCAAGATGACAAACACCCTTCCCAAAAGGAGTATTTCTGGGGGCACGGGGAGGGACTTCAGGTGGCAAAGGTCAGGCGTTAGAGGGCGAGATTTCTGGTCCCAAGATGGTGACCAGGAGGTGAGACTACCCTTGTGGCCCTCGACAGCTCACCAAAACTTTGTGCCCTTCCAGCCAAAATAATTGCCTGCCCCTGGGTAAATTGGAGAAAAATTTGTGTTATCCTATGTGGTGATGTTATATGTGACCCCCCCCGATTAGTTTATAAGGGGCAAATCTGCCATGGCTTCTGTAAGCGATGGTGGGGCACACCATTTGCACCCGCTTTTCAAAATTTTTGATCCTGGCATGCATGTGTTGTAGGGCAGAAGGCACATTTCAAGCTTGATACCAACTTTTTATCTTGAAGATGACTGAATTTTTTTAATAAAGAAGATAGGAAGAAATGGTAGGCCAGATCTTAATAATTTTCTCTTGAAGCCAGTTGAGGGACGACATTTGGACAGTCCTGTGTGCTGCTTTGGTATGCCTTACGCTTCAGGGGTCAGCAAACTGTGGCTCATAAAGAGGTCTGATCTGGCACTCAGAGGCCTAGTCTGGCATGGGGGATTGGTGGCATGGAGCTGTACTATGCAGCTCTTCCCCTTTGCTGCAGAGCCTGCTGCTCTGCCATGTCTGTGCTTACCTTTGCTGCAGAGGGGTAGGGATTAATGGCAAGGGTAAATGCAGGCAGCTGGCCACTCTGGGAAGTTGAGACTTGTGGTCTGTGGTGGGCCCTCAGTTGCAAAGGGGGCCCATGCCAACAAAAGGCTGCTGACCCCTGCCTTAGGGGACCAAGGATTGTGTGTGTGATGTCCTTTGTGGGCGAAGATGACTGCATCTGGGGGGGTGGGGGGCAGGGAAGAAGAAAGAAAAGAAGTGGGAAAGAAAAAGGGAGGGAGAAAAGAGAAAGGAAACAAAAAAGGAAAAAGGAGAAAAAAGAGAAAGGAGGGGGTGGAAGCTAAGTTTTGTGTGGATTCATAGGTGACTTTTAAGCCCGATCTGTGCCTTGAACTGCAGCAGGGGCAGGAGAGTAATGAGGACTGGATATGGAATTGGTCCCCCTGGATAGGGGACCAAGGATTAAATGCAAACAGAAGTATCCAGATTTTTAGCTCTGACTTTCATTAGTCATGAAAGGAGAAGAAACATTAAAAACACAAAATGGAACACAAACAAATAATGGTTATTTCGGTTATAATTTCTCCTATTTAATACTCTGAGATTTATGAGAAGATATCTTTTAAGAGTGTATCTGCTCATGGTAGGGACCAAAGTGACTTATAGAAAAAGAGTCTTGACTCAGTTTATAGAGGGTAAAGACTTTCATTTATGGGTGAATTTCATTTAAATTTCATTTAAGCAGTGAATCCTGCCGTTGTTTATCATGGATAAAACCATTTATCTTAATTAAATTCTTTGAAACTGTAGAAGAGATTAAGTCAGTTACTTAAAAGAAGGCATTCACAGAGTTAGTTTGAGATATGCAGACAAATGAATATAAAGAATCTGACATTTGAATTAAATCCCTCTATTACATTCTGCTGCTCAAAGATTATTTCAGGTCTCCTCCTTATAAATATATAAATATAAATTCCCAGTTTAACAGGGAAAGAAACTTAAAGAACCTGCTAGTGTCTTAGAAAGTGGACACTCATAAGATTTGAACAGCTCCAAAGTGTAACCAGTTAGGCGTGGGTTCATAATTGTTTTTGGTTAGGAACTGTAGGACACAGGCATAGCAATCTCCTTGGGCATGGAGGAGGAAAATGCCAGCTGTGGAGTGTGTGAGTGGGGTGGAAGAGTGGAGTATTACCTGCCCTGGCCCTATGCACTTTGGTGGCAGCTGCTACTGCTGTGGCAGCTGCTGTAGCAGCATAAGCTTGAGCTGCTGAAGCTGGGTTGATGCAGCCCTGCACTGTGAGCTCTCCAGGGGGCTGCCCTGGTGCCTCACTTGCTTCTCCCCCATTCTACTAAGTGTGGGGCTGTGTCCCCTCATAAGTTGGCACCCAGGGCTACTGCGCTGTCCATTAATAACAATTGTTACTCCTTACAGCAGGGGTTGTCAACCTGGGGTATGCATACCCCTAGAGGTTCTTAGAAAGGCCATAGAGGGTACAAAGAGGTGGGCAGGCAGGTGGGGATGGAGTGCGCCCTGGGACTCAGCAGTAGTGTCTCCCCCAGCGCCTTCCCATACTTTGGTTCTTACTCAGGAGAGGGGAAGGAGTGGACTGGGTGCCACCAGCCTCATGCAGTACACTGCAGTGCCTCCCTGCCCCCCACCTCAATTTACTCTCTGTGCCCACTCCCAGGAGCAAGGGGTGAGGGAAGTGGTACTCCTCTGCAGGCCGCACATGTGCTGCCTGGCAGGCTAGACAGGTTGTGGGGCTTGCACGTGACGGCTGCCACCGTCACTATCCCATGCTGCTGCCGCCTCCTGCACAGCTTTCTCATAGCTGGTTACACGTGGCTTCGTGGGCTGGTGATGTGTGGCGTGCAATTGGGCGGGCATGAGGCCCATCATCAGCCCTCAGAGTTGCACGTGCGACCAGCCGTGAAAAAGCAGTTTGGGGTGTGGCAGCGGCGACAGTGCGGGCCAGTGATGGATATGTGTGCGTCTGCATCTTTGTGTGTGTCTATGTGTCTGTCCCCCGCTCGCCCAGCGACTGTACTGTTTGACTCGCATATGGTTTTGGTGATCCTTGAGTACTGTGGTTACAACCTGCCCCCTGACTGGGGCTATGTATAAATTGGCTGGATCTAAAAAAAAAATTAATTCAAGATACCAGATAGATATAAGAAGATCCTTTTCAAAGAAAATCAAGTCCAGAAGGGCTATTAACATTTATAGTGAAGCACAAGTTAAGGAGAAAAATTGAGCTGAAGCAGGAAAATAAAAAAGCCTGAACAAATATTCTGGCACGCAGGCCCAAAGAAGAATTCTTGTCAGAAGCAATTTGAAATGTAGATGAGAATTATGATGCCACTGTGCTTTCTCTAGTGCAACAGAGATGGCTCTTTTTGTTTTAGAAATCTGCGAAGATTGAGATTAACAGGGTCAGTGGCTGATAGTTTTATACTCTGAACATGGCAAGGATATTAGCCTTCAACATGAGACTTTTTTTTATTGGCTTTGCACAGATGTAGATAGCTATACAAGGTACACCGCAGTAGAGTATCGGGTCCCCACATGTTCCCTGTACTACCATACTGGGTCACCTTGACTAAGTTTAAAGTACAGTGTGACCCAATAGAGGGAAAGGATTCATTAGGCAAAAGGAAGGGGAAATGAGTTATGATGACTGGATTTTATTATTTTAAGTGAGCATTGTGACTAAGAGGGAAATATACATGTGTTCTAGATAGAGTAATACTTCACATAACTGTCTTTTTGGAAGAATAATATAGCAGACCGTTTAAATTTTGCTCAACAAGCCAAATACTTTTCCTTTCCTTTTCGTCTGCCAAAATAAAATTCGTGTCTTCTTACCACAGAGAGAACGGTTGGCGAGGATCTCTGGAGATGTTACTGCTAACAATAGAGATTTGTCACTGTAGTTTATTATAGAGTTCTCAAAACTTCCTGGCCCTATAGTCAGTCCTACTATTCTTTGTCATTGACAGTGGTTCCACTTTTCTCTTTCTTGTTTTAAATTGCTACATTTTATTGAGTTTTTACAGTATACAACAGAGCAGTTTTCCTAGTGAAAAGAGCAGGATTTGGCCCTTTGTACTTTAAACGAGAGAATACTGCAGGCAGGGTTCGACCTATATAGTCAATGTCAAACCATATCACTGCTGTTGCTTTCACATACTACTTCCAAAGACTGGAGAAAAATATCAGAGCTCCTAAAGCTAACTAAAGCAGGATGACTGGATTGCGCACTTGAAAAATATCTCAAAGAAAATACGCTCATTTAATGAATGCTGGCATAAATCTAATTTTGTAACACTACTCCCTTCTTTTGTTAGGACCCTTACTACAGATTTAATGACCTTGCCTACAGATGGATCTCCCTGGATAACTGGACTTACAGCAGGACATTCGAAACTCCTTTTGATGTCAGGTATGCTAGAAAAATATATTTTGTTAAGATTAGTTCTTTACTATCTTCCCTGCAGAAATGGTGGTTAAGTGGATTTTAAACTGCATGCTTGTTACTTTATGATGTAGTAAATCAGGTTGCATAATATCATATGGCCATGAAGCAGTTTATTAGCATTCAGTGAGTTTCTTTTTCAAGACTTTTCCTGTGTGAAAATATATTTCTCAAATTGCCAACTGCCACATAACAGAGCTGCACCTATCCATTTGCTACCTGATGGACATGGGAGGTTTTGCTGTATTGTGGGTGTATAAACTCTCATTTTAATTTGACTTGACAAAGATGTAGCTACACTGACTCTTACGGAAGCTGTTAAAACAGCTGCTGGTCAAGACATTGTGGCATTCTCAGTATTTATATTGCATGTGCAGTTAATTCAGAGTATCCTAATAATTTCACATTCCTGTGTCATCTTCTGTAGCAAATGGCAGAAAGTGAATTTGGTTTTCGAGGGAGTAGATACAGTAGCACAAATCCTGGTCAATAATGTCACTGTTGGAAGAACAGACAACATGTTCAACAGATACGTGAGTAATTCAATTATTTCTGAAGGTGCTTCTATTGCTGTTTCAAAGTGCTTCTCTGCTAAGGAGTTTCAGTGCGTTTGATCTACACCAGGGGTTCTCAATCCCTGGGCTGCGCTCTGATGCCAGGCCATGGCGGGTCAGTGCTGGTCCGCAGCACGGTCAGCTGTCGGACCGGAAGTGGCTGCGGACTGGCAAACTGCTCCCCGCCACAGCCAGGTGGAGAGGCTGCGGCTCCTTCTGCAGGGCCCACAGCAGCACAGTGTTTGGTCCAACCCCGCTGCCCAGGGGATGGGTGTATCCTTACCTTTCTGCCAGTCGGAAATTCTGGCCATGGTCGGCTGTGATTGTTGGGCTACAATTTGCCAGGCCGCAGCCATTTCTGGGCTGTGGTTTGCTGGGCTGCGGCATAAAACTTTGAGAACCCCTGATCTAGACAAAAGCGTTGAGGACTAGACTTGATATGTGATACACCTTAAAAAGTTTTTCCTTAGGTGAGAGAAGTTCATAAAAGCCAGACTTTTTGGCCAGATCCAGATGTGGAGGCACATGCAGTTTGTAGGGCCACAAGCCTCTTTGTGGCCCCACAAACCACATGTCTGGCATGTTAAAATGTGCCCCACACTGCAAATTTGCAGTGCAGGGACAAAGTTTGTTACCAGGAAATCCCTGTAGCAAAAAGCCCCCAAAAATGCTGTGAAAAAAAGCACCACAGGACCATGTGCTGCCAGACACAGAGGCTTAGTCCTCTCAGGAGATGCTCTGGCTCCCAGCCAGAGCATCTCTCCTTTAGTTCTGCTCCAGCTTCAGCGTGCCAGGAGCTAGGCGAAGCACGAAAACAGAAGTTTTCCCAAAGCAGGGCATTTTACCCTGGATCAAAGTGCACATGCAGGGGCATGCACAGCAGCAAAAAGTAGTAGTAACAAATTTGTGCCACTACTTTTTTTTTTGTCACTGCAGGCACATGCCCCTGCATGTGGGTATGCCACCTTTGGGGAAAAGTAGGCATATTTGGGCTTTCAGAAGTATCAGAATTGGACCTTTAAACAAACATTTCATGATCTAAACCAGTGTTTCTCAACTGGTAGGACTTGGGTCACAGTGGCGAAACCGGAAGTGTGGTGGGACTTCTGGTTTTGCTTTTGCACACTTTGATCAGTCGTTCTCCCCAGCCATTCGACTGGCCTCTGGGGACAATGCCCTGCCCTGCTTGGTGACCATTGGGACCAGGATTTTTTTGACTTTTTATGTAGGTGCAAAACTAGAAGAGCTTTCCGAAAAGCATCAGTTCAGCTAATAATGAGTCAGAATTTGTTACAGCTCCAAAAAACCCTTAAATTTCAATCTGTTACATTACCTGTAAATCTGCTTACTAACTGGTATTACGATGCTGCTGGTTTACATGTCAATATTGAAGTATAAGTACAAGCAGTACAAAGCCTTTATAAATGTTTGCATGTTTTTTCTCCTTTTTATGTATAGTAGCTAATTCCCAGACCTTTGGATAACACACTGTGTCTCTGGAGACCTAGTCTGTATCAGTATGGCAGGATTCGATTCTGAATGGTTACAGGCTTGATATATTCAGACCAAATAATTCTGTAGCTTTTCAGTGTATGCTTGTCCCTGCCCCAAGGAGCTTACAAATTAAATAGATGAAACAGACAAAGAACGGAGAAAGGAAATTTAACTTCTACTATACAGCTGGAGAATTAAGCTGGGAAAATCTCTCTATCTTTTGGCATTTATGTTTCTGGCCTTAAAGAAATAAAGGTTTTATAGTTGAGGCATGGCACTAGGACTCGGGGCATATGGGGTTTGTTTGTTTTTTTTTCTGGCTCTGCCTGGCACTTAGTGTGATGTTAGATAGATCACTTAGCTTTTTTGTGTGTTGGCTTCCCCATCTGTCAAAAAGGAAGAATAATTCTCATCTCCATCACAGGGCTGTTGTGGAGTTGTAATTAATTATACTTGAAAATCTTGTGACACTGCAGATGGCAGATGCTGTACAGTTAGTATTATTTTGCATTTTTTTCTGCAAGTGCATTTTGGTATTTTGCTATCTGCAACCAGTTTATGAAACAGCTCATAGTGTAAAAGCAGAATTAAACTGATTAGGATTGGATCTAAGTTTGCATGACTATGACTGTTCCCTTATTTACTGGCTGTGTCTTAAAAAAATAAATAAATAAATAAATAAATAAAATACCAGCACAACTACACTGAGGTAGCTGCTTTTGATGCTATTTATTTTGTGGTTATCTGTGGCTGGGTCAAACGCTACTGTGGCTACTAATGGAGGGTGGCAAAATTACTTGCTCTTTATAAAAATTCAAGAATGCATATCCAGTGTGCCACAAATGCTATAGGAAAAACATTCATAACAATCCTTGATACCTGTCTTTTACCAAGTGGGAGTAAACTGAAGGGCAGGGATAGTAACAGAGTGAGATTTTGAAACTGAACATACATCCTGTACATCCACATATGGAGACCTCCTTCATAATGCTATCTTTCAGTGAGTCTTCAGCATCTCTGTTTTGGGCAAGTATTGAGCTGTATCTGTGTATTTCAGAGAAGGGAATGGAGGGCATCAGAGGTTTATATGGGCCCCTCTAGACCTGCAGGTAAAGGTGTGATAGGATCTGATGCACAACTCACACAGTTGTCCTTCCTGCCATGCCACTTGTGGCAGTGCTGGTGGTGGGGTGGCAAACAGCGACTGCCTGCAGGCGCTGCCGACGGCATTTTTGTGAAAAACAGCTCTCTGCTAAATCTATTTGGTAACTGCACAGGCAGTGAAATTTTAGTCTGAAGGACTTTGGTATGAGTGAGCTCACTCGACTAGACCAGGGGTGCTCAGCCTCTGGCCTGTGGGCCAAATGTGGCCTGTGGAGCCATTTTGCCTGGCCCCTGGGAATCCCCATGGGTCTGGAAATTTGGCAGTGGGGGATCAGTTGCCATTAATATGGCCACCCTCCCCACTGCCAAATTTCCAAGCCCTGCCCTTTCCTTGCAGAGCCAGTTTACACTCCCTACTCTCCCCACCTTGCCATTTCTGGACAGGGACTGGACCACACCCCCTTCTCTGTGGGATGGGTTGGGGCTGGGCCATGCCCCATTTTCCCTGTGGGGCTGGGTTAGGGCTAGGCCACGCTCCCTTTCCCCTGTGGAGCCAGGTCAAGCTCCTTTCCTCTGTGGGGTCGCATTGGGGATGGCCTGCCCCTGCACTCCTCTGCATGGCTGGGTGGTGCCTGCTGCACCTGGTCTGGGTGCTGGATTAGGACCACTGAACAAATCTGGCTTGTGGAGGGACCCAGCACTGCCCATCCAGCCTACTAGACAAAAAGGTTGGGCACCACTGAACTAAACTAAAAAGAGCAGGTTTCTGTTGGGGTTTTGGGTAGGAATGGGCAACCAAAAAAATAATCTCGTATCCTAATCTTGCAAGCAATTCTATACAAGTGAATCCATGCAGAGTCCCATTGACTTCAGTGGGACTGAATGCCTGAATGTGCATTTTAATGTGTGGTAAATTGTGCCATTTGGGGCAAACTGACCCTGCCCAGCTCTTCCCAGATGTTATAAAAAGCTACCCTGGCGAGCAGCTCAGGGCTACTTGTCCTCAGGAGCTTCTGAGGCCCAGCCTGTTGGTATCTGGGAATACTAGCCCCCTGTGCCAGCCGGACTGCTGCAGTAGCCCTGACCTAGAGTGGCCTCTGCACCCTCTGCCCACTGCAGCAGTTTGGCAGTGGGGGCTGCTGCCTAGCTGTGACCTGCTCCTACCTGCGACAGCATCTGCCCCCTTGGACCTGCAGCCCCATGGTTGTGCACCTGCCATCCCCAGATGGAGTTTATACTGCCATCTGCACTGTGGTACGGGCACTGCAGCAGAGCTTTCTGCACCTGTGGGCTGTGGCTGCACAGGTGGCCTTCGTACAGCACTGCTGTCATGTCTTCCATTGCCCCTGCTCTGGTCATCTGGGCAGCTATCACCCAGAAGATGTACTCATTGCAGTGGCTCATTTTGAACTGTCAGAGCGTGATGACCTGACCATGTGGGGCTTCCAGCTGGGTTCCCAAGGCCAGCCCTGGGCAGGCTTCTCTCCCCAGGTCCCACTGCTTGTCTTGCCATCAGGGATCCTGGTTTTCTCTGTTTAAAAATCCCATATTCTCTGATAACCCCCTCCCCCCAAACTCTCTGATTTAAAAACTGCAAAATCCACTTTTTTCTGTTATTAAAATGAAACACCACTACACATATAAGTATCAGTTGAGCACAATGTTTTATTGATATATTTACCATTTTAATGCAATTTGGAAGCCTACCACTATCTCAATCGTAATAAAATAAACTCCACACCCCCATACTGAGGCAGCATGCTGGAGCAGGAGTGGGATGTAGCAGCCGTGTAGAGACGCTCTGGCTGACTGCCACAGTATCTCCTTGGAGGACCCAGCCTCCAGTTGCTTCTGGCCATGCTCCAAGAGCACCCCCCCATGCTACTTTATTCCAGGGCGTTGGGTTTTTGGGGTTTTTTTTAATACTGGCATTCTCTGGTACCAAATTTAGAGTTCAGGCTGCAGATTTGCAGCACAGAGAACGTTTTGTCTTGTGTTTCTCTTGTGGTGGTTTATGCCGTGTTTCAAGCTCCTTTGGGATACAACAGCGCACATGTGCATTCTTGTGTGGACGTGGCCTATGTGGGCAGAGTGATCTGCCCAGAAAGAACTACACATAGGACTTCAATTTAGTGTGTCTTTTCTCTCTTCAGTCTGTGAAGTATTGCAGTGTGTCTTCCAGAACTTCAGCTTGTGAATATGGCAAACACATATCAAATAATAAAAACAAGTCAACCCAACTAAAATAAAAAATCTAAATAGTAACTAAACTATTAAGTAAAACTAAAATAAAAACAAAACACAGCAGCTGTGTATCTGTATATGTCAAGCAATTAAACTCAAGTGATATGCTGTATTTTTCCCCAATGCAGAGCTTTGATATTACTAGTGTGATCAAGAAGGTCAGTTTTATTGAGGTTCGTTTCTTATCGGCCATTTCATACGCAGCTGAGAAGAACAGATATCACAAAGCATACCAAGTACCTCCAGAGTGCCCTCCCCCAGTACAGAAAGGAGAATGTCATGTTAATTTCATCAGAAAGGTAAGAGAAGATTCCTTTATGTCATGTGGCTTGAGAAGCAAGGAAAAGTATGATGTCATATCATAATAGATGTATTTTAAATTTGCAGTGCCATTTCATAACTAGGTATGGGCATGCATGAGTGCAGTTGCACTCCTCATTTTAGTCCTGTTCCACCCAAGGTTTAAAGCCAGCTGTTTGGTAGTGGCAGCAGCATTTCTGTTCGGGCTAGGGATGTGAAATGTTAAATGGTAAGTTTATTTATACCGTTAATCCATTACAATTAATGTTTAGCACCAGACACAGTCCAGTGAAGAAGGGAAGGGGCACGGTGCCCCAGGAAGGCAGCTAGTTACAGCATGCAGTTCTGCCTCTTTCTCCCTGCAGTGCTGCTGCCTTTGGAAGGGGGGGAGGGAGGGAGGATTAGTCACAGCATGCCGCTCCATCTCCTTCTCCCTCTCCCTGCAGCGCACCACAGGTTAAAGAAGGAGCTGTGAAAAAGAAAGCTCACATGCATGCATACACATGCTAAGATGTGTCATTGGTTAACCATTTAACTGATATCATTGGAAGAGTTTAAATGGGTAATTACTTAAATTATTTTACATCCCTAATTCAGGCAGGAGGAGGGAGTTAATTGAGGTCCTGGCTCATTATAATACACCTGATTCCTTCTAAACTCTCCATTCCATTGCTGTTAATGACCATCTGTCCTTTTTAATGGTCTTTAATGGTTCAACTAATCAAGTTATCCTTTGTTCTGCAATTCCGCTGTCTGTTAACTGCTCCTGGTAATGTAACTCCTATTTCACAGTCCTGCAGACTGTTTTTAACTTTAGCTGAAAACATTAACTCGGGTATAGAAATAACTTTTAGTGAAGCATGGGATAGGCTGTCAGGATGCTCAGGAAGGCTTGATTTTGTTTTATGAATCTGAAAGAGATGTACCTTTAATGATTGTGGGACTAAAGAAACAACATTTTTTGATTATTTGTGCTAATGTCTTGTGTGTTTTAATACATAATATATGATAAAGGAATTAATGCACATTCCAGTAACATCTTGTTCTTGCTTCAATCTTAAACTGAATACTGTAGCCTGAGGACCCTAGCCTATCAGTAAAGTTTCCAGTAAACACAGTAAAGTGTGTTGTGATAATGCACTGCACTATTTGCACCCCACTTTTCAAAATCCTAGATCTGCCCATGTATCAGCTCATGTTTCATAGGAAATCATCCTGTAAACCAACACTTTGAATGTATTAGAGGCATAAAAACCTAGGGTAGCTATATAATTTTTTTAAAAAGCAATCTTTGAAGAAATGCCAGGGACAAGACTGACAGTTATAAGGGTGGGGGCAGAGAATAAGCAATCGTTGTTATTTTATCCAGTGGGCGAGTTTAGGAGGGAATATTGACAATGGAGTGAGCTGTCATGAGAACCAGAGTTTATTGCCAAGACTATGAAAATCTCAGCCAAGCAGCTTTGTGAGTGTTTGCCATTGTTCATGTGCTGTGCTATTTATACTGAACAGCTCTGGCATGTACTGAAAAATGAAAAGCATTAGCTAACGCAGACCATACTTTTTTTCTTATGGTGTCATGAAGCATGATATAAATATGTATTCGGTAAAAATTACAAACTAGCATGAAGCTAGTATACATGAATTTGAGTCTCGACTCACTCATAAATATGGCAGAACTTATTTTTATTGATTTCCTAATTTTGAAAGGGCCTTGCAGTAAGAAGACACAATACTGAAAGTAATTTTCAGAATTCTTTTCTTTTTTTTTTTATTGCTTGCTTGTGACAGCTTAAACATTTTTTCCTTTAAGTGACCCATGTACTGTAAAATAGCCTTCCCCAAACAACCTAGCTAAAATTATTTTGACCTGTAACTAGAAATGATTTCCTCTAGAACATGTCAATGCAGAGGAATGGTGCCATGTTCCCCACAGAACTACCTTTTTTTTTTTTTTCCTTTCTTGAGATAAAGATGTTGTCTCCACTGTTATCATCCATCATATCAGAAAGCTGAGATGATGACTGTGATGAGGGCCATGGCAGAGTAAAGCACTAAGCTGTGAGCCCACCTTGAATACCATTGTTTTAGTTTCAATTTAATATTTAAGGAGGGGAGAAAGATCCACTTATTTACAATGAACGTTATCTTAAATTTGGAGAGTTTAATTCTTCAGAGTCCATGTGTTATTTCCACTGTTTCTTCAAAATTAATGTGGGGACTTGGGGGAAGGAGCTTGAACAGCTGTAGTCCTATTTATAGAGTTGAAATTGCTTGGAGTGATTTTAATACTTTACTGGGCTATATATTTATAGTCATAAGCCTTATGAAAGTACCCTAGTGCTTTTTCCTCAAAGGAGTTGCATGACTTGACTTGCAAATTACTCTAAACATTTTCTAAGATGTTTTTCAATCCAGACATATGGGTACAACAGCAGAGCTGTCGCATTTGAAAGTAAACAAACACCCTTGGACATTTTTAAAGTTAGCCTGGTTCTTGCCATTGGAAACTATTGGGAAACCCTTTGTATGTCTGAAGTTCAACATGAAATATGGTAGACTAATTTGAACCTTAATGTGAGTCTTGTGGTCAAAGTCCCCAAGCTTTTGACTGAAAAGGTACCTTTTAATGATTTGAGCGTATTCCTCTCATGGTTACTTAGAGTTCCCTGTATTTCACAAGTTATTGTATTAATGAAACCTGACAGTCAGTGATACAGTTTAAAAAAATTGGTCCCAATTACAGTAGTTTTCTAAGAACTAGTTGTCCCAGCTTTTAAACTTGAAATGGGTACAGTGCTTGCTTCCCAGAAGGAGGTTTTTGCAACTTGATAGGCTGGCAAGCTGACTCCTGTGATGCATGGAATAGACTAGATTAGTGCAGTGTGGTTTGCCAAAATTAGTATGCCTCAGCTGTAAGTTATTAGTCTCTAAATTTAGAACTGTAGGTCACTGTACTAGACTTTAACAAGATCTATTGTGTTTGCATTGGAAGCTGGGGTAGGAAGGCTTGGAGGTCAGCTAATTAGAGGCCTTAAAGGGGCTCTGTCAATGAGGAATCTCTTCCATTTTTCAAAAATAAATGAAAACAGGTCCAGGTATTAGGGCTGGCTAGGAGTATTTAATTCTGTCAGTTTCTGTGGTATTACAGTCACAGTTAGCTGTTTCCGAAACATGTGTTTCCTTTGTTGCTGCATGAAAGAACCATGCATGCAAACAAAAGGCAAAAACCTGTGAACCTGTGTATATACAAAGTGCACCAAACAAACACGGGGGTGTTGGTCTAAGGACATAGGCAGACTAGGTTCTTTGGGTAAATGTAATATCTTTTATCAGACCAACTAAATAGTTGGAAAAATTGTTCTTTGCAAGCTTTTAGGCATAAACACCCTTCTTCAAACATTTGGGCATTCCATATATAATCTCTTCAGTTCATACTAATCTTAGCTGTTGTTGGCAATAATACAGGAGGTAAAACCCTTTCAGATTCATGTGATATTTAAGTTGACAGTTTCTCTTCAAATGATTAGAAATACCTTTATCTATCAGTGTGTCATTCCTTATTTTTATCATTTTCATTTACAGTTAAAAGTTGATTTTTTTTTTTTAAATTTTTTTAAGACCACGGATAAATTAGAGTTGTTCTGAAAGCAACTGCTAGTTTTTGCTGTTGCTTTTTTTTGCTATCATTCTTTTTTTTAAAAAGGACTTTTTTTAATACACATTTTTCACTGTTTGAATAATAGCTGAATTTTAACTAAGGAGGAATAAAAACAGGTAGCATTTATCCTTTTTTCAGTTACTAGGAACTGGAGTACCTTTTTGTTAGCGCACATTCATATATTATTTATGGACATTAGCTCACTTCTATAAAGGTCCTCTATTTTTTTTTTTTTTTTTACCAGAAACATGTATCGGTATGTGCAGAATATAGTTTATGATACATCTCTCTGCATTCCAGGAACAGTGTTCATTTAGTTGGGACTGGGGTCCTTCTTTTCCCACCCAAGGAATCTGGAAAGATGTTAGGATTGAAGCTTATAACATCTGTCACCTGATTTACTTCAGTTATATCCCCAGCTATGGTAAGTGCTGATGATATTGTCCTTTGTTCTTGTTTCATTTGGGAAATGCAGCAGTTCTAGTTTGAACTGAGTTAGCAATTTGAGGAAGGGACTGTTTGTCTTTGTATATGTATGCCACCATGATAAAGGCCATATCTAACTTTATATTTGCTTGGCACTACTCCATTATAAATTATAATGTGGAAACTAGTACGAGTTCAGAATGCAGAATTTTTTTTGCACAGAGCAACCAATGCATTTGTTTCATATAACAATACTTTTACCTCTGTTCTGTTTTGGAGAGCAAATTTATATTAACGTACTGATGCCCTTTCATTTAAAGACAGACAGACAAAGGCTGCTGTTGTTGGAGCTATCATTCTTTGCAGAGTGAACAAACTTTCAAATGTTACATTGTCAAGACTCCAGATAGAGATTGAGACAGAAGAACAACCATGCTGTTCAAGCATTATTTATCTGAAACTGCAGTTTGAGAGGAGGTCCCACAGCATGTTGGCCACCTAGCCCACCTAAATGGTTTTCTTTTTTGGCTCAGACATTTGCTTGCCTTCCATTCATACTGAAGATAGTCAAAGCTGAGCAAAAGTAGTTAGTTTTCTATTTAAACTTCCTGCATGTGTCATATGCTCCATTGCAGACTACCTGTAACTGTCCCCTGCTACGGGTTAAATGCATTTTCAGCGGAGTAGAGAATAGTGCATGTGCCCTTTTGCAGTAGGTGCAGTTTCATCCCTTTGGAGTAAAGATATACGCATGAATAAAAGGGGAAGATATCACTTATAAAGCTTCCTGAAATAGTTCCGTGTCTCGCCCAGAATTCAGGTGACTGGAATTCTCACTGAAAGTCTCAGCATAGACTCTGCAGACTCAGTCAAGTTCAGATACAATAAGTGCTGCCTGGTCCTTTCCACATCTTCACAACGCCATCTGCTGGTAGTCAAGGGCTGGCTTATGGGAGGCAGATGTCTCATTTAGCAGGTGTTGCTTCACCATTTCAACCTAAACAGATCTTTATTAATACTGAAAGAGCTTGAAATTTGAAAAGTAAATTACTTGTGCCATGTTTAAACAACACAGTCACTTGTTTTGCTTGCCAGATTGTTGTGTCCTAGTCTTCTGACCACTGGGCCAGTAAAGGAATCTTTGTTCCTGTTTTCTGTGCCCATAGTTCAGGAATGGGCTTGCTTGGCTTCCTGCAGCAGAGGAGTGGAAAGGAAGAGCTGGAAGGTGCTATAGTTTCTGTGAATTTGATTTTTCTCGTAGCTTTCGTTGACCTCAGCTGGAATAGGGGAAGATCAGCACATCTGTAAATAGGGCCTCTTGTTCAATCATCTTGGCAAGCGTAGGTAAACTAAGGATCAAATTCATTCCAATGAATTCTACACAAGCCAATGAATTTACTCCAAGAACAAATTTCCTTTGTTAGTTTTGGAAGGTACTGCCTTCTTTTGTATCTCAAACTGAAATGGAGATAATACAGTTTAGCTGTCAAAAGGAAGTAGAGATTTCACATGTATGTGAAGAGAGGAAATGATGATTAACAATTCATGTAAACAGAGCTTCTCTACTTCTGTTTTTCAGTGGTTCTTGCATTGTTCCATTATTGGAGGTGGGAAGGAAGGAGGTAGATGGTGAGGAAAAGAAACAAAAAGTAGCAGCATGTTTTAGGCTTGCAACATTTCATGTAATAATAATAAGGACAAGTTCCCGTTTGATTTGCCTTTGTTTCAGCACAGCATTCAGCTGTAGTATGCAGAATAAAGGGTTAGGGAAGCTTTACTTGTCCTTTAATAATTTAAACACATTAACAGGAAGGCTGAGCAAACATTCATTGATGGTACCCCCTTGGCCCCCAACACCTTTTTTTAGCAAGTCACTCTTGAAGTGAGAAATACCTGGAGGGCAGAGAAGAGAGACGCCTTGGATCATTAGTGTGTTCCCTCGAGCACACTTGAGTGACAAGAGAAACAAATTTGACCCATCACATATAGACTTGACAATATGGTGTTCTGTAGTGTAAATCCATTCACCTAGTCTGGGGACACAGGGGATGAACTTGGCTCATTTCCTGTTAAATTTTTTTTTTCTGGATACATAAAAGTGGCTGTGTTACCTTGTGATTACGATCTTGCCAATTAGGGCTATGCTCATATACGAGCATAGCTCTCTATGCTATAGCATTATATTTTCTTCTAGAGGGCTGAAAGAAAATATAATGGCTGGGAGAATTAGATGTATAAAGCCCTTTCTCCAATAATAATAAAAAATGAATGGGCTCGTGTTCTCTCATGTGTGCTGTGATGTGTTTTCAGAACTTAAAGATGGTTTAGGAATGAGAAGGCAGTAACTTAAGCAACATCTGTTGCTTTGCATAATCCTCTTCTGAACAGCAAATATAAACATGTGTATTAAATACACTAAACCGGGTCTGTCCCGTTTCTGAATGACTGGGGACTGTGCGCCCTCTGAGCCACACGGTGCGGGCCCCTTGCTTGGCTGGCCTTCCTGAGCTGTGCCACACTGCACAGGTGTTTCTGCACCAAAAACTTCCTGAGGCCTGTGGGCCATGCTGCTCTACCCCACCCCTAGGGGTGAATGTAAGATGCAGAACCTGGAGTAGGGAGGGAAAGCCCAAACTCCTCTTCCCCAGTATCAGGAGTGATGGAAGGAGTGGTGCCTGGATCCTGGACCGGGAGCCTAGTGGCTATGAATTAATCCCTTCAGAACTGCCATTTGCACTAAACAATGAAGACCTCATCAGTTGACTTCAAAATCAAGCCTGAGTTACATTTCATAGGGACTTTGGTCTTTAACAGGATATGATTATAAGAATCCTATTAATCTTTAATAGGAATGAGGATATGTGGAAGTGTCTGTGTGTGTGAATGAGATGTATTTTCTTTATGTATATAAAATATAAATTCTTCCCCCCCACCTTTTTTCCTCCCCTGCAACTTTGCATTAGTGAAGAGTGCTCAGCAGTGGAGTCTTGAAATAGAGTCTGTTTTTGATGTAGTCAGCTCAAAGCCAGTTGCTGGTCTCATGACAGTGAACATTCCCAAGCTGCAAACACAGCAGATATATACTGTAAAGCTTCATCCTGGGGAAGATAGCATTGTGCTGCTCTTAAACATCAACAAGGTAAGGGGACAAATCTTAAACTGTTACAACTACAAAAGGTTTCCTGCTGTGTTTATGAAACAGTATGCAACATGTCTATCTCCATTTTAATTTTCCCTTTCCTGTTCTGTGCTCTATTAACACTTCCTCACCCTTGTCAGGGCCAGAGAGCAGCCCTTTTAGCCTCTTGCATCTGATTCCACTGAGTCAAAAAGATGTTTGTGAATGAAATATTGTGGCATTTTTCCCTCTTAAAGATTGATACAGAAGTCAAGTCATCTCTCACTTCTGCTGGGTCCAAAATGGTGTTAGTCCTCAAGCTCACTCTTGGTATGACCTATACTGGGGACAGCCTTTTCTATATTTGCCTACAATGGGATTCTTTCTTTCGTCCTCTGAAACCATTGGTACTTACCACTGTCAGATGGAACAGAAGTAGATGGGCCTGTGGCTCTAAATATTTTTTGCCTTACTACATCATTTACTGGGCTGATTGGGACTGAAGTACTTGGGGTACTGATATGCTTGGTTTATACGAAGAGTGGTGGAAGCATTTCTTTAGGTGCTTCTTTTGTAGTGATCGCTTTGCATCAGTAAGGGCAAAAAAGGGTCCAGTGTAGGGTTTTGGAGGGCAGTGTAGTGGGTGCAGAGCCATTGGATTTGCATCTTCTTTTGCCAGCTCTGAATTAATTTTTTGGAGTCGAGGGAATCTTAAGGACAGGTGAAATGTCAGAAGTGAAGGGCTCCAAAGGAAATAAGGAACACAGCTGAAGAAGGGTAAATGGATTTAAGTCCCAGTGCTGAAAGGCTTCAGGTGAAAAGAATCTCTTTGGGCCTGCCCGTGGTAAGGCCTAGTTAATTCAATAATATTAAGGGTGTTTCAGAAAGTAACAGCAATTTTGAAATAAAACCATTTTATGTGTAATAATCCTTTATTGGACCACATCACGTCTGTACACAGATATAAAAGATGGATACTTTTTGCTTTTTTATCCTTTCTTTTTCCTTTTCTTGTCTTTGTGACAAGGTATTTAGCAGATTTTGCAGATTGATTGGAACCTGACAGGGCTGCACCATGAGTGTTTCTGTTCTGGCCTGGAATTTGTGACCTCTGGGCTGTCAACCCCGTGCCTTAGCACGTGTCCCACCTCAGCCCCTTACACACTAGTGAAGGAACAGGAAAACAAGTAACTTGTGTTGTGTTTTGCATTGCTTTTAAATAGTCACATGGTCAGTATGACCCAAGCATATCAAAGTTTGGGTGTGTCAGTAGATGGAAGAAAATACTAAACAGGAGAGAGTTTTTATTTTATGGGTTTTTTTACATGAATGACAAACTCCTTCAATTCAGTTCAGTCCAATCCCATCCCATCCGAAACAAACAACTATATGCTGCAGCAGTTCATTACCAATAATGATTAAACATAGCAGCATTTAAAAAAAAATTGTAACTGTTATGCTCAGTCTGTGCAAATCACAGGAGACAGAGTTAGAAGAAAACCATGCCACCACAATACTTTGAAACCGCTTTTTCCTGAGAAAAAGGCTGTAGTGGAGGATTATTGCACTTGAAAAAGCCCGATGGCTGTCTCCCATTTGTGATAAACCCCCCTTGTTTGTGGAACAAAATTGAAGTTCTTTAAAAACAGAGACATAACATGGAAAAACTAGGATCCAGATTATACCTTTAACATAAGTGAAAGCAGGACTGCTTCCCCCCCCCTTAAAAAAACCAAACAAACCCAAACCAAACCAAAACTCTTCAATAAGGAGGTAGGATATTAAAGTTTAGCACTCCTTTTTTACTTTTTTATGAATTGCATTAAATTGTAAGTGAAAGAATGGAAGGTCATGCACAAAGCCTAGCGCTGCACCAAGATGTTTTAGGCCTAAATTTTGGTGAGCCCAGGGTATGCAACAGGGAGCCAGGACTTTGGGCGTTTTTCTTTGCTCTGGGCTTCCTGCCCAGAGAGCTGGACCCTAGTGAAGCTGACTTTGCAAATATTTACCTGACAGCAGCAGATGTGGCTTCACTGTGCTATGTCCTGGAAGTGGCTGACCAGAGCAGGAGCTGATGGTATTGTCTATTTTGGACAAGGGAAGGGGTATCTGGGCCTGGATAGATTGCTAGAGGGGGGAATTGATTTCACTGTTTTGTTTTAAAATGGACTCTCAGACATCTCATGGAATATGACCTTTTGACTGCTGTGGATATCTAGCAGAAGGTCATGTGAGAAAGTACCAACATTTAAAACAAGTTAATTTAAAATAGGTATTAGGGCTTTGTCACAGGCTACCTTAAAGTGGGCATAAAGTTTCTTAAAATAAGAGCATTTGACCATTAAAGGGGGTTAAACCATCATAAGTACCGCCTAAATATTTTAAAGATAAGCCACTCAAAAGGAGCTATATCTTGGAAATGTTTTGTGTGTGCCATTCCAGGGTATTGTTTGAATGGTCAGGGAAGGTAAAACACTTACTTTCATTCCTCCAGCATCCCAGGATGCACAGCTCCCAGTCACTCTACCCATTTCTGTCTTCCAAAAGTCTAATGGTTCCCTCCCCCAGCCCTCCCTTGCAGCTGAGAGCAACTTCTTTGAGCAGCTTAATTTCAGAGAGACCATGGAGCTGGGGAAGACTGCTTACCCTGGCCACTGGTCTTGCTACAGGGAGGCTTAACTTGAGTGAGGCCAGAGAGACCCGGGGAAATTTGCTTCCCTTGGGGTCTCTGGTCTAGCCAAGCTGTGGCTCCACGCTGAGAGCGGGCTCACCGCTGTCAGTTGCAGTGAGAACAGAGAGCCCCGGGGAAGCAGCTTCCTTTTGGCATTCTGGGTCCTGCCGAAACTGGCACGGCGGCTCCCAGCCGAGAGAGGTGCCATAGGGGTTAAGTGCT